AGCTGATGACAGATCCCTCACCTTAGATCCGGAGAGCATCAGGGCACAAGTGAGGGACTACTATATGACTGTCTTCTCTTCAGATCCATCCAGCGAGGAAGCTCACAAAGCTCTGTAGAAGAACATGCTGCAGTTCAGCCTAGTGAACGCCAAGAGCTCGACTGACTTCTGAGTTTGGAGGAGCTGACCGATGCCCTCGACTGTCTTTGCTGGACAAGTCCCCAGGGCTGACCATGGATTCTTCAGAGCATTCTGGGACATCTTAGGCGGTGACTATGCACGGGCCCTAGGGGAATGTATCATGACTGGAGAGATGCCCCTTTCCTGGCACAGGGCAGTCATCACTCTGACCTAAAAAGTGATCTCTTAGGTGAGATTATTTAACCCGGTACTGTCCCCATTCCCAAGAGAGTCTGATGGGGGTGGTGTCAGGAGTGGTGGTGGTGGTGGGGTTTGATTATTCTGTTTGCATCTTTCGTTTAAAAGAGTAGAGAGTTTTTCAGACTGGAGGACAGTGACCAGCAGTGTGCCACACAGACTGATGCCAGGTCCACTGCTTTTCATCATTTATATATATGAATATAGGAGGTATGGTTAGTAAGTTTGCAGACGACTCCAAAATCAGTGCTGTAGTGGACAGTGGAGAAGGTTATCTCACAGTACAACGGGACCTTGATCAGCTGGGCCAATGGGCCAAAGAGTGGCCAATGGAGTTTAATGTTGTATATTGTTGCATATTCTGACAAAGGGTCACCAGACAGGAAACATTAACTCTGATCTTTTTCTTCACAGATGCTACCAGACTTGCTGAGCTTTTCCTTCTGTTTTTGTTCCTTCTTTAGTCAATGCATTGAGTATAGGAGTTGGGATGTCATGATGCAGCTAGACAAGACATTGGTGAGGCTGTTTTTAGAATACTGCATTCAATTCTGGTCTCCCTGTTATGGAACGATATTGTTAAACTTGAAAGGGTTCAGAAGAGATTTACACAGATATTGCCAGGATTGGAGGGTTTGAGCAAAGGGAGAGGCTGAATAGGCTGGGGCATTTTTTTTTCCTGGAGCATTGGAAGCTGAGGGGTGACCTTACAGAAGTTTATAAAATCATGACAGGCATGGATAGGGTAAATGGCCAAGGTCTTTTTCCCAGGGTAGGGGAGTCCAAAACTAGAGGGCATAGGTTAAAGGTGAGAGGGGGGAAGATTTAAAAGGGACCTGAGAAGCACCTTTTTCACGTGGAGGGTGGTGCATGTGTGGAATGAGCTGCCAGAGGAGGTGGTGGAGGTGGGTACAATTACAACATTTAAAAGGCACCTGGATGGGTTCATGAATAGGAACAGTTTAGAGAGATATGGGCCAAATGCTGGCAAATGGGACTAGATCGGTTTAGGATATCTGGTCGGCACAGACAAGTTGGACCGAAGCATCTGTTTCCGGACTGTATAATTCTATGAAGCTAGTCAAAGTAAAGCAGTAAAGCTCCGTCGCTTTAAACAATTCAGTACTGGTCTCATCTCAAAAGATTTTTCCTCAATCTGCCTTCAAATTAATTGAAGCAGTGTTTATGTGGCTGACACAAATATCTCGTTCAGATCAGATAAACTGTACTTCTGGGTTAGACTGTAGTTTGATGATGGATAGAATGGGCATTCCACAAATGTCAAATTCCTAGGGCACTTACAGTATTAAATAGCAGTATCTAAAAGAAGATTTAAGCCATATGTAATAATGCCATATCATTTTTATGATCAAAAGCCTCTAGTAGTGAACTGCAAGTCATTTGTTGCCACTCATGAGAATTCTCCTAGTTCTAAGATCTCAATTAATTTTGTTACAGAAGCTAGGATCAAGGAACAAAATTGCAAGAAATCAATTTAACAACTTATTAGTTGTATACAGAAATGAGCTTAGTTTGAGATATACTCAACTACAGCACTCAAATCATCTGCTCCATGCAAAGTACAAAAAGTAGCTGCTCAAAGTTTTTTTTTTAAATAAGTTAACAGTGTACATCATCAGCAGACACTCCCTGAAGCTTAGTACGAAAAGCCTGCACTTCATGTTTGCACTTGCTCAGTAACATTTAATAGGATCTTCAAGGGTGAAAGAAAGGTTTGCATTTATATTTACTTTTCACAACCATCAGATATCTCAAAGTGCTTTAGATCCTACTTAGTACTTTTAAAAAAATCTGCAGTCACTGTTATAATGCAGGAACAGGATACCAATTTTATGCAAAGTTCAACAACGTGATAATGACCAAAATAGCCACAACTTACACAGAAACCTATAGCACCATGTGGCTGCATGAAACAATGACAAAGTTGCAAAATGCATTTGAAAAGAGAACTCCTCTCGACAATTACATGCCAACCGTTTTTGTGGTGATGAATGTAACTGATGCTCAGCTCAACTGCAAAGTGCACTTTTGCCCTCTGAAGCTTCTCACTATATTGAAGGAACCAAACTCAACTTTGGGCTACATAGATTTGAAGCGTGTCAAGTCCAAAATTTACAGGGTGCTCCATTTCTTTTTCAAATTCAATCTTTATTTAAAGACAAAAGTTAATATGACAATATTTGATTTTGCATGTATTGAAAAGCTGCACTCCAATCAAAGAGTTAATTTCCTCAAGTGACTTCAGTGTTCCACACAGGACAAAGTAGATGTAGGTGTCCAAACACTGACCTTCAAGAGATAAGGGAAAAACCAGCAAGTGGTTTATGGCTGATTGCAATATATTCTGAAACTCTTATCAATAACTTTCATTTTTGCTAAAGTTCCTACAGACTGACAGTAACCATTTTCCAGGACATTAAAAAATTGAAAAGTTAGAAGGTTTAAGAAAGGTTAAATTGTTTAAATTCAAAGACAAATAGAGCAGGTGAATACAAGTTAAACCAAGGCTTTTCTTCTGAGGATAAGGCTAAAATACACTATAATAGCTAGAACAAACACAGTGAGCAAAAGCTCACATTATTGGGGAGCAAAGAGACAACAATATGCCACTGACGCAACAGGTGAATAAAAGAAGACAAATGTCAGCCAGTCTGCTACTCAAAAGAAACATTTGGCAATCTTATGCTACATCAAGTAACAGCGACAACACTGAAAAGTATGATAAAGACTAAAATGTTTATGAAAATCTAAATTATGCAAAGGAAATAAATTTTATTGTAAGGGCTGATTTTTTTTTAGGGACATGTATCTTAAATAGCATCTCTAACTTCACTTTGATGTTCCCAGCAGTGATAAGTTGCACTTCACAGAAAGTTGTAGTGATGTTATGTTTCTGAGTTATTGATGCATCAATAATCAATCTGCTTTAGATCTGCTCTGCATGATAATTTGAAATAAACTAACTTCAGAATAATGGTAATGAGCTCAACTGACTAATTTAAATACGGTTGGCAGAGTGTTGATTTCTGCCCATCTATCTACCCATGTTCTAGGGATCAGCTCAAAGAAAGAACAAGAGGATGGATTGTCTGGGCACCTACCAGGCAAAAACACATAACAGGGGCATATAAATTCCAGCCAATAGAATGCAAAGACAAGGAATTTATGGTAGATCTTTAGGAAACACTGGTTCAGCCTCGGTTGGAGTACTGAATCCAACGTTGGGCTCCATACTATAGCAAACATGTAAAAGCACTGAAGATGCAGAAAAGGTTTATGAGAATGGTGATGGGAAGGATGTTGTGAAACTTGAAAGGATTCAAAAAAGATTTCAAAAAAGGATGCTGCCAGGGTTGGAGGGTTTGAACTAGAGGGAGAGGCTGAATAGACTGTTGCTATTTTCCCTGGAGCATCAGAGGCTGAGGGGTGGCCTTATAGGGGTTTATAAAATCATGAGGGGCATGGATAGGGTAAATAGCCAAGGTCTTTTCCCTGGGTTGGGAGGAGTCCAAAACTAGAGGACATAGGTTTAGTGGGGGGGGGGGGGGGGGGGGGGAGAGAAATTTAAAAGGGACCTAAGGGGCAACGTTTTTTCACACAGAGGGTGATGCATGTATGGAATCAGCTGTCAGAAGTGGCGGAGGCTGGTACAATAACTCTTCAAAGGCATCTGGATGGGTATATGAATAGAAAAGGTTTAAGAGGGGTATGGGCCAAATGTGGGCAAATGGGACTAGATTAATTGGGGATGTCTGGTCAACATGGATGAGTTGGACCAAATGTTCTGTTACTGTGCTGTATACCTGTATGACTCTATGACGGGTGAAAGAAACTTAAATTACATGGATAGTTCAACAAAACTGTGATTGTTCTATGAAGAAAACAAAAGTGTAGAGAAGATTTCAAAATCACAAGGAGCCAGGATAAAACGTTCAATGTTGATAGAAAGGATGACAAGCAGAGGAATCCAATTTAGAGTAATTGACAAAAGAACCAATGGCAACATGAGGAAATTGTCATATGTATCAAGTGGTTAGGATCAGAATGCACTGCCTGCAGAGTAAACCACAGCTTTCAAAAGGGAATTGAATATTTATCTGAACAGAAAAAAAATTAGAGCTAAAGGGAAAAGACAGGTGAGTGGGATGAGTTATATTACTCTGACGGAGAGCCAGCAGGAAAGTGGATCAAATGAATCACAGAATGGCTTCCTTCTATATTGTAACTATTCAATGGATTCTATATCAACTAGAAACTTCTAAAATAGTTAAAGTGAAATGTAATCTTACAGTTCTTCATTCAAATGAATACGTTCCCTCAATCTCCAATCATCAATAAATTTGATTGGAACTAGCTGTTATAAACAAGGAAATCAATATTTCACAACATTGTCAACATGTGTACTGAGCCACTTCTAATAGAGACTGGCATCAAGAAGTACGTTAAGCTGCCATCGAGGAGTTTAGTATAATAAGGTAGGTCAATATTAAAGGATTCTCTAAATGTCAGTTGTAGATGTTCTTAAATTGCATTTCAGCAAATGTAATCTTCAGAACTACATTTCGTGGCAATGGTTAAATTACTGGGAAAAAAAAACTTACTTTTCATTGCCTGAATCAATGCTTTTCCATCTTTAATCAGATCTTTAATGAACTTATTTGTTTTTTCCAGCTCTGCTTCATGAGACTTGATTCTGTCCCGGAATTGTGGACTGTCTAGGTAGCAATCACTGAACTCAAGTGCCGGCAGGCCCATGGTTACCAATAAGGGCTATTTTTAAACAAAAAAGCAGCAGTGGAAAGGTACCAGGCTCCAAAGGAAAATGTTCCAACAATCCTGCGAATGCTATTACTGCACGGTTTTTGACTATAACAAATCGATTAAATTATATCCCACTGAGCTCTCCCACTCTGCGTCTGTCCCTAAGCCCACATTCTCGCTTTCTGTTCCTGTTTGCGGAGGTTCAGTAGCACTGTTTAACCCTTCTCTCTCACTCTCCTTCCCGAAGTTGTCACTTTTCCGTAGGATGAATTAATACCGCTCTCTTCGTGTTACTGTTTGATCCTCCCGAGTTCGATGTATGTGGCTGTTCCTCTCTAACCTAGGTGACAGCGGGTTTCTGTCTCTCGCCACATTCAGATGTCTCTCGCCACATTCAGATGTCTCTCTCTCTCCCTGCCCTTGGAAAGATTACACAAGACTGCGTCCTTTTGGTGTATTTTTGTGTGAGAGTGTACGAAGAGAGAAGGGAGGCTATCTTTCTCACTCCCTCTTCACGCGGTTATATCTGTCGGTGTCTCTCTTTCTCTCTGTCCCCAAGTATAGCTGTGGATCTGTTTTTGTGTTTTCCTCCTCCCTGACCCTGGCGGTTTCTCTCTCCAGGAGGATTCGCGTTTTCCCCGGCCACAGATTGCTAACGTCTCGTATCCCCCGCGGAGCTGCACGACCTCTGGCAAACGGCCGCTCTGCTGAATCCGGGCTGCGGTTGGACAGACTCGGCCGCCGCTTCCGATGGTTTCACGTTATCAATATTATCACCATCTTCGCTGTCGCCGCCACCGCAGCGAAACTTCATGAAGATTCCGCTCGCGCTTCCGTCAATCGGCCAACCTAGCCTGATTACTATGGTTACGATTGACGGTTGGAGCGTCCAATCCTGAGAACGGACCAATCAGACATTCCGTTACACGGAGCAAGTTCCGTTGAGCTACTCACCCCCAAAACGTCGGTTAGCAGGGGGGCGGGGTGGGGCTTGTGCTGAGTTAAAGGCAAGTGCTCAGCGGAGGCGCGCGCCTTTATGTTAAAGGGATGGGTGAGGATTGTTTTCCCAAGCATTGCCAGCTGGGTTGGTTACACAAGTGTCGGTTTTAACAATTTAGGTGTGGACTTGAACACTTTTTTTTAATGAATGTTTTTGATATATAGTTCTTTGGAACTTGGATTCTAAAGTTCCACCATTCCTCCATTGTAAAAATCCTGGATTTCCTCCCTAAGAGCACTGTAATTTACTCCCCCTCCCCGGGACTGGAGAAGGTAAAGAAGAGATTGCTAATTCCTTTTTGAGAAGGTGGATGTTAAGCTATCTGCCTCGCTATCGGCAGACTGATTTTATGAACGAATATAAAAGACATGGAAGCTATTACAACAGAAACATAAAAGCAGAGGTGCCAGAACTAACTCACAACTTATTCCGTCTTGCCAATCAGAAAACAACACTTTATCACATTTCTGAAGAAGGGTCTAGGCCCGAAACGTCAGCCTTCCTGCTCCTCTGATGCTGCTCGGCCTGCTGTGTTCATCCAGCTGTACACCTTGTTATCTCACTTTATCCTACTCTTTTGTTTCCTACCTCCCAGGCAATTATCAAACTATATTAAAAGATTATCTACAAATCTTTGAACTGTCAAGCATTGCTACGACTCTGTGTGGAACTTTACCAGATACCTTAGGCTCAAATAGACAATATTCATTAACATTCTGCAAAGCACTGAGCTCAAAAATTTTGCTGGATTAGTTGGATATGATGTACTCTTCACAAATCTATCCTGACTCTCTTTAGCCTGTTCACACCCAACCAAGTATTTAATCCCTGCCTTCTGGTAATAGATTCCAGTTACACGGCTACCATGGATTAAACTAACAGATCTGCCTTCATCCAATTTCTCCCTCCCTTTTTAAATAATGTAATGAAAATTGCAACATTCCAATGCAAAGGCACAATATCTGACTGGGGAACATGAGAAAATTATGTCTAATTTATCTGCAATGACCTTACTTAATGATGTTCCCTTTCCTTTCCAAATTTAATTCTAAAGAGTTGAAACTTTTTAATATGTAGCTCCCAGTCTTGCTTCAGTCGTGGTCTCTAATGGCTGTATCATCATGGTTGTAAGCCTTGACAACATTCCAACAACAGTGCTGAAGACCTGTGCTCCAGAATTATGTGTCCCTAGCCAAACCTTTCCAGTACAGCCACAAATATATTTTCACAAGTTTTATAGAATTTATTTTGTTTATCAAAAGTACAAAAGAACTAATAATAGAAGCTGTGGTTTTAGTTGATCCACTTTGGGCACCAGCTCATATTTCTGCTTGACTAGAGAAACATCTCTTTTTTTGTTGGCTAAAATTGTGTTTCTGTCTTTGGTTTTCTCTATGCACCAACCAACTAAAAAACACCGCTTATTAACTCTTGCTCGCCATTACCCAGTGTGTACAAAGACACCCTGAGTTCTGAGGAAGGGTCACTCGACACGAAATGTTAATTCTGATTTCTCTCCACAATTGCTGCCAGACCTGCTAAGCTTTTCAAGCAATTTCTGTTTTGTTTCATCCTGACCTGTAGTTGGCTTTCCATTGCATGGACACACATGTCAATCTCAGAAGAGTTAGATAACCAATTCCTGATTGGTTTCTTTGCAAGTGATAGTCATCTCATTGTATCACTTCCTAATATTTTGTGGTTTGATCCTTGAAGTGACCATCACTTTATGAGTTTGCTCTTTTTACAACAGCTTGTCCTTAACTACTAACTCCACAGATCAACATATTCAAACATACCAAATATGATCAGAAGAAGGTAATACAACCCTCAAACATGCTCCGCTTTTCAATAAGATTATGACTGATCTGCTTGTGTCAAATTCCACACACCCTACCCCATAATGTTTGATTCCCTTGTCTAACAAGAATCTACTTCCACCTTAAAAGTATTTAATGACCCGCATCTCCATCATTTAATGAAGCAGATTTCCAAAGTCACATAAACCTATAAGAGACAAAAAATTCTCATTTCTGTCCAGAAAGAGTGACCATTAATTTCAAAATAGCTCCCCCGTTGTTCTGGATTCACCCACATGATTGGCATCTCATCCACAAGCATCCACTCCCTCTGCCACCGATGCTCAGTAGCTGCATTGTGTACTATATACAAGTTGCATTGCAGAAATTCACCAAAGATCCTTCCAAACCCACGATCACCACCATCCAGAAGGACAGAAGCAGCAGAAACCTGGGAATACCACCACCTGTAAGTACCCCTCCAAGCCACTCACCATCCTGACTTGGAAATTATCACCATTCCTTCAATGTCACTGGGTCAAAATCCTGGAATTCCCTTCCTAGGGGCATTGTGGGTCTCCCAACAACACACAGTCAGCAGTGGTTCAAGAAAGCAGCTCCCCATCACCATCTCAAGGGCTACTAAGGATGAGCAATAAATGCTGGCCAGTCAGCAATGCCCACGTCCCACAAGTGAAAAGAAAAGGAAACATCTTTTCTATGTCCATTTTGTCAAGACAATTCAAGACCTTATACACTACAATCAAGTCACCACCTCACTCTTGTAAAGTCCAGGTAGAATTAGCCCAACCTATCTTCATAAGTTAACCCACACATTCCGATATCAATCTAGTAATGCTTCTCAAAACCACCTCCAATATATTTATATTCATCCTTTATTAAGGAGACCAAAACTGCACACAGCATTTGAGAGGTGGCTTCACCAAAGCCCTGTAAAACTGAAGAATTTTAGTTAATTTACTTAATGAACAATCCTTACTTCCATGTTAAATTCCTAAAGGATCACAACCCATTAGGCTTCTTGATTATATTGCTGTGTCTGCATACTTTGGTGATTCAAGCATTAGATCAACCAAATCCCTCTGTATCTTGGAATTCTGCAGTTGTTCTTCTTTTATGTAATGCTCTGCATTTTTCATTCATCCTGCCAAAGTGAACAACTTCTTGTTTCCCACATTATACTCCATCTGCCAGATTTTTGCCCACTCACTCAACATATCCATATCTATTTACAACCCATGTCTTCTTCACAACAGACTTGCCTGCCTATCTTTGTCTCAACTGCAAATTTAGCTACCATTCCTTCACTTTCTTCATCCAGCTCATCGATATAAATTGTAAAGAAAAAAGTTGAGGCCCCTGCAAGGCTTAACTCATCACATCCTGCCAATCAGAGAAAGACCCATTTGTGCATACTTTCTGGTTTCTGCCACCCAGCCAATCACCTTTGTTAATATGTCTCTTATTGCAGCATGAACTTTTGTTTGGCACTCCATAAAATGCCTGCTGGAAATCCAAATACATGGTATCCCCTTTATCTACAATACACATTACTCCTTCAAAGAAATTTAATAAATTATTTAAACATGCTTTCTCTTTCACAAACTCACACTGACTCTTCCTGATTGCTGGGAGTTATTTCAAGTCCCGAGTTATGACCTTTCTCGTGACGAATTCCAAAAATTCCACCCCCCCGTAATAGTGAATAATATGGAAATAGCAGCTGAAATGAAGAACTATTTGCTCCTATCTTCACTATAGCAGATATGAAAAATAGTCCAGTCATGGCTGTAAATCAGGAAGTGAAAGAGGAACTTAGTTAAATTACAATCACTATAAAACTATACTAACCACACTGATAGAGCTGTGGGCTGCCTGGTTTCTAGGTTGAGTTGGACTTTATCTTTGGTGACTAATGAAGTAGTAGATGTATTGATGTTAATTTTCCAAAATTCACTAGATTCCACCAAACTGGAAAGTAGCAAATGTAACTCCTCAATTCAAAAAGGAACAGAGACATAAAACAGGAAACTATAGACCAGCAAGCTTGACATTGGTCATAGAGTTGTACAGCATGGAAACTGTCCCTTCAATCCAACTCTTCCATGCCGACCAGCTATCCTAAATTAATCTAGTCCCATTTTCCAGCATTGGTTCCATATCCCTGTAAAGCCTTTCCACTTATGTACCCATCCAGATGCCTTTTAAATGCTGTAATTGTATCATCCTTCACCACTGCATCTGGCAGCTCATTCTATACATGCAGCACCCAATGCATGAGAAAGTTGTCCCTTAGGTCCCTTTTATATCTTTCCTCTCTCACCTTAAACCAATATCCTCCAGGTTTGGACCACCCTACACTAGGGAAAAGACTTGGTCTTTTCACCCTATCCATGCCTTTCATGCTTCTATAAATCTCTAAGGATACCCCTCAGCCTCCAATGCTCCAAGGAAACAAAACCCCAGCCTCTTCAGCCTCTCCCTATAGCTCAAACCCTTCAACATTGGCAACATCCTTGTAAATTTTTTCTGAAACCTTTTAAGTTTAACAACATCATTTCTACAACAGGGTGAACAGAATCAAATGCAGCATTCCAAAAGTGGCCTAACCAATGTCCTATACAGCTGCAAATGACATCCCGACTCCTATACTCAATTCACTACCAATAAAGACAAACGTACCAAATGCCTTTTTCCCCAGCTTGTCTTACCTGTGATTTCACCTTCAAGGAACTATGAACCTGCACCCCAAGGTCAGCAACAATCCGCAGGACCCTACCATTAATTGTTTAAGTCCTGCCTTGATTTGCCTTTCCAAAATACAGCACCTCACATTTATCTAAATTAAACATGATTTGCTCTCCTTAGCCCATCAGCCTATCTGACCAAGGTCCCATTATACTCTGAGATAACCTTCTTCATTGTCCAGTACACCACCAATTTTGGTGTTACCTGCAAACTTACCAACCATTCCTTCTATTTCTCATCCAAATCATTTATATAAATGACAAAAAGCAATGGACCCAGCACCGATCCTTGTGGCACAGCGCTGCTGACAAGCCTCTAGTTTGAAAAACAATCCTCCACTACCACCCTCTGTCTCCTACCTTCATGCCAATTTTGTATCCAAATGGCTAGCTCTCCCTGAATTCCATGTGATCTAACCTGCTAACTAGTCTACTATGCGAACCTCGTCAGACACCTTGCTAAAGTCCACATAGACAATGTGTACTGCTCTGTCTTCATCACTCTTTGTCGCCTCTTCAAAACACTAAATCAAGTCAGTGAGACAATTTCTCTCACACAACGCCATGTTGACTATCCCTAATCATTGCTTGCCTTTCCAAATACATGTAAATCCTGTGCCTTTAGAATTCCCGACAACAACTTACCCACCAAGACATAAGGCTTGCTGGTTTATAGTTCCCTGGATTTTCCTTACCACCTTTCTTAAATAACGGCATCATATTAGTCACCCTACCGTCTTCCAGCATCTCACCTGTGGCTACCAATGATACAGATATCTCAGCAAGGGGCCCAGCAATCACTTCCCTAGCTTCCCACAAAGTTCTGGAATATACTTGATCAGGTCCCAGGGATTTATCCACCTTGATTGATTGATTGATTTATTGTCACGTGTACCGAAATACAGTGAAAAGCTTTGTTTATGAGCAGTACAGGCAGATCACAGCAAGCAAAGGATCTACGGATCAAAAAGACTTAGAGGTTTACAGGTTACATTATTTGAGGCTAGAGAGTTGAATCATCAATCTGGTAATGGCTGGGAAGAAGCTGTTCGTGAACTTGCTCATGCGTGTGTTCAGGCTTCTGTATCTTCTGCCTGATGGATGAGGTTTTGGGAGATCATTACCGGGGTGCGATGGGTCTTTGATGATGTTGGTCACCTTTCATGGCAGCGAGCCATGTAAAGAGACACCACGGATGGAAGGTTGGCTTCCATGCTGGTGTGGGCTGTGCACTCTACCTTCTGTAGTTTGCAATACCAGATAGT